TTTTATTTATCCATCCATCAAGTTAGAGGGGTGACTGCATTCAATTTCAATTTCATTCCAATTCATTTTTTCACCGGTAAATTAAACCGCTCTTATCTATGGGATTTTAGGTAATTTATAAGGTAGTCAAACAAGCCACTCATCACAAAATTAGAGAAATTTTATCAGTATGTCACCAGTGTCAATCAAATATGTGACCATTTTTGACAACATATCCCGTGCCTTACCGTTGCTGTGTGACCCGCTTGTACAAAAACTGTTTTTGCCATACTTTAACTTGCAAAAGCAAACTTTTGATGCGTTTTTTTCCCTAGCGTGTCGTGTTTCTTAAAGTTCTAGGGCAATAACAGTCAAACTTGCTCGGAGTCATTGTATTTTCATAGTAATTATATCAAAATACTAAAAAACTCGGTATAATTGGGCCAATGGCTAGCATACATTTACGATAGAAAAGACGAAGTTTCCCGAATTTTTTGGCAAAATACAAAGGCAGGAATTTTCTTCCACAACCTAGAGGGCATTCTAACAGTAGCCACGCCTAGCTCTGAGCAGTACACTCCAGACGTGTACTTTCCTCATGAAAAATTGATAGCCCACTAAAAACGTTGGATATACCAACAAATTTTACTGCTTTGTAGGTTTCGGAATGTTTCAAATATTTGAGATACTGTCAAGTTTAGCTGTTAAGAACAATATTCTGGTACAATATCAGCCTAAAAAGTATCAGTTTCTAGGATCTTGAGTATTTTTATCATTTACATCAATCTAAAAGCTTGCATCACTTGACAGTTTGAATGTTTGTTAATAGTTCCCATATACGAGAGTTAGCCGGCAATAGCGTTTTATCAATGTAAATCATCTCCATCAGCGCCTGAGACGACAGCTTTCAAAAAAGAAGATAATGTCACTTTTGCTAATTTTGACGAAAATAACGTGTTTGCACGAAATGGTATTCCCACTCCTTCAATCTTTTAATATACTCTGTCTATTTGATACAGCATACACGTAATAAACAAGATGTCTCTTTGAAGCTTGATTCTTTTACAACTTTAAATTTCTTCATTTCAGCAAAGTGACTTGAACTTCGTGAGCTTATGTACTTGAACTTCCTGAATTTCCATTATTCATTGTCTCTAAGCGAGGTGTATCCCCAACAAATAGCACCGTAGTAAGGGGCCCTACTGAGTTATTGCCAAGTGCGTCAAATCGTTCCACGACTCATTGCAGTTGAAGCATTCGTTCTATGCTTATATCGAGCAAAGAGTCAGCAAACATGACAATAAAAGCGCTGCTAATGTCAGTGGAAGTTTTTACTTTGTTTTATACCTTCCCAATTTCCCGATTGCACGAGGCAGTATTGAGATTACTTTGTTACGTGAGCCCACATGTCCAGCTTCTCACAATAGAGTACTTGCAAAAAAGTAAGCAAAATTTTGTCAATGTCTGCCATTGATCTATGAACCAAGATGGTGCGTTGCATCTATCATTGAAGCAAGTGTTAGTACAGCTAATATCTCTTCAATCGCTTAAAAAGATTTTTGCAAACCGTCTCCCTCTATTGGATCCCCACAGTGCTGAAGATATTATTACAAATTTTACCATCTTACAGTAAATCTTCACATGATAGGATTACTAATTACCGCATAGTTTATTTGGGAAGAAAACTAGCAATAACTAAGCAACGAGTCGAAATATCAGATGGATTCTTTTTGGGTCGAAAATCATAGTGTTTGATCCAGAAACTTAGCAGATGATTATTATCTGCGAGTTTCGGGCAAATTACTACCGCCCCGGTTTTTTCGCTGTTGCACCCGTAGATGAGAAACTCATAAGAGTTGAGGGATTTAGCTAGTCGAATATCTTAATAAAAATAAGAACTGATCGTGAAAATGCAGGACAAATGATACAGAAAATTCGCTTTTCACATTAATCCTTCAAATAATAGTATAGCTTTATCGCAGTGATGCAGGATAAAGATCTCTACTTAAGCACTTTACTTCAGACTACTGTTAGGCATTTCAGTGAAGTTAGAGAAAATAGCCAGTTTGTTTATTGTCTCACAAGATCTAACACAGATACAGTGTAACACAAAAGTTAGATACTGGCTACACTGGATAGAGTTTCGGAGCCTATCATTATATGATTAAGGTTAGCAAGAACAGTATCACAATTACAAAATAAAAGGTAGTCAACGCGTAGGCTCACCTTAAAATAACGACCAAACTAGGAGGATAACTAGAGGGTGCCTGCAGAGAAAATGGCACATCGTAGCAAAACCACTGGAACTCGGGATAGGATTGAACCCAAGATCAGCCTTTAACCCATGCCCTTAACGCTACTAGGCTATGTCGGTCTTGTTTGACAAAGCATGTTTAAGCCATTAGCGGACCAATTGCCTAGCTTGAATTGCGTCAACCTCCTAGCCTATGGTGTCCGATGCCTTCAAGGACCAACCGCCCATCCTGGAAAGCTTCAGCCCCATTTCAGTTGGCTATAATAACGAACAGAAAGTCCTTCATAGTACGTTTGAACGAAATGCGCACTGCTACACCTGT